TGGGTTTGAACTGCCAGCCTTCTGGTTAGCAGTCAGATGCCTTAGGCACTATGCTACCAGAGCTCCTAAAAGTTAGGATACAGGTTAGCAAATATCTTCTACATCAGCTGTTTCTAATTTTTTTGGTACATGGTCTCCTGTGACAGTTTGGTGATATTATAGAGTCCTATTAACAATAATGACTTCAATGCATAAAATAAAATACACAGGGAAATTTAAAAAAGTTAATTGTATGAAATACAACTTTCAACAATATTATGTGTGTGACAAAAATGAAACCATACATTCACTAGAAGAAAACAGAAATAAATCCTTTATAATCTGGAAATAACAAACATATGCTTATATGCTGCTGGCTGCTAAGGCTGACAAACTCAAGGTTGACAAATAAAATGGCATAGTCCCAGAATGATCAAACAACATGGCGGGCCACTGGTTCAAGTTCAGGAACAATCCTAAGATTGGCAGATAACACACAGGCTGCTGAATGAAGACTCAGTTACATCCAGGGTCCAAGTGTGCCAAAAAGCTCCATAGACCTTTCTCGATGCTGCTGCTTGCATACTGGAAGCAGAGCACATCCTTAAGGCAGTGACTGTTCTGGTTCCCTAGTGCTGCTTTAACAAGAAATATACCACAAATGAGATGGCCTTAACAAACATGAGTTTATTCTCACAATTTGGAGGCTTTAAGTGCAAGTTCAAAGTGCCAGGCTCTAGGGGCTGGGTGAAAGCCCCTCAACCTTGGGGTCCAGTTCTGCCTCCTGCTTCCAGCCCACTGGAGTTAGAGGCGTTTCTTCACTCAGACAGCTGTTGGCTGCTAAGGCTGCCAAGCCCAAGGTTGACAAGTAAAAAGGCACAGTCTGACATTACCAAACCACACAGCAGGCCATTAACTTAAGTCCATTGTAAGCCCCAAGGTTGACAGAGCATAGCAGGCTGTTGAGGAATGACACAGCTACATGCAGGGTCCAAGCATGCCATAGGCTAGAGACCATTCCCAAGGCTTCTCCTTATATACAGGAAACAGACCACATCCCAAAGGCTGCTTGTGGTAGATCCCACCATGGAGTTGATCGCCAGTCTCATCATGGGGAATAACTACCACCAGCTGTCCAGCCACTCACCCAGGCCCAGCCAAGCTGACCCACAAACATAACCACCACAGAGACTCAGCTGCTCCAGTAGATACCATCATGGAGTTGATTCCCAGTCTCATCATGGGGAATAACTATATCCAGCTGCCCAGCCATTCAAAACCAGGCCCAGATAAACTGACATACAACTTAATTACCACACCAGCCATCTCTCCCACAGCACCCTCTACTTCTCTGCTTAATTAGATGATTCACTACAATGGCCACACAGAACTCAGAAACAATACTCACGATCATGAGGTTTATTAGAGAAGCAACAAGTTACAATTCAGCATCAGAAACAAGTCAGAATACAGTTCTTCAGCCAGGACTGCTTCTTCTCTACTACAGCCATGCTTCTCCCTGGCCTTGGCTTCTGCCCTGCTCAGGCCAGTGTTACAAAGCTCTCTTAGCTTTGCAGGTAGGCACCCAAAGAGGCTCCCCACACTGCCGGCAAGCTTTCTGCCTGAAGGCACTCAGCTTTCTTGCTCTGTGGACCAGGAAGTCTGCAACTCTGTCTTAGGCCAGCGTCTGGGTTCTGCTTCCTCTGCTGCGTCTCTGCTGCCTCAGTGCAGGGATCTCAAGCCCAGAGATGTGCTCTGCTCCTGGCTCTTCTCTCTTGATGACAGTGAGATCCCACTTTTCCATCTCTGGGACGGCTCATTTTAAGCCTAGCAGAATGGCAAAACTAATCCCTATGTTAGGGTTCCATACACATTATTTGCATGATCCCACCCTACAAGGATGCCATGTACCTTATTTACATTATTCGCAAGCTGTCTAATCCCCTTGGGGGCCACAAGCACCCAGTCATCTGGTGGGAGTCCCAAAGCCCATGGCTAGAAGAGCCACGTAAAGTAATTCAGTGCATCACAATCTGCCTCCCCCTTCATTCACCAGAGCCCCCTTCATTCCCCATATGCCAAGGTCTGTGGACTCCAGAGAGAACTTCAGGTTACCTGAGTCCTTTCTTTTGGGCCCCAAAGCTCTGGGTCTCCAGGAGGAAACACAGCATTTAGATACTACTCATTCGGTGGACATTTAGGAAGCTGTTGTATTTATAGTCCCTGCCCTGGAGTAGTTCACAGTGCAGAGCCAGTAACATCACAGGTAGCAGAGGATTGTCACAGAAGTGTTTGTGGAAGTGTCCAGCAGCTGAAGTCTCCTAGTGAGACAAAGGGCCTTCAGAAGGGTTGGAGAGACCCTACAAACTCATGGAACCTGTGCCCAGAGAAGGAAAGCCTACAGTGTGAAAGTTTTACTAGTACTAGAACTTGGAAGTTGAAAAAAAAAAAA